TGTAGGTAAAATGTGGACTGGGCGAGTAATATACAAAATATGCACATTTTTGATAATAAACTTTCATATATGGTATAGGAAGGAAAAAATCCCATATAAAAATTGGAAGGAGGAATACAATAATCAAGTCTTTGTGCTTATCTGATGCTACGTACAACATCTGTTCATTCTCTCCAAGATTCCGCATACCACTATCAAAGATATTTTAAAGGGAAACTACCGGGCACCGGCTATGTTATTTATAAGTAGCTTATTATAAAAATTGGTCAATTTATAAAATATTACTAACATTAGCTAAATTTACTAATATTAGCATTTGTAGAAAAAAGGTCAAATTTTTGTTTTCTTTTGAGTGGGTGTTATTAGAATAGATTGGGTACATCTTAAAGAGCTTGAATCTCAGTTTTGGGATGATTTGGTGAAGTTTTGTGGTGGTTTGAATTTAAAATTCGAAGTCAAAAACTGAACATGAAAAAAAATGATATGTGTGTCACACTGTGTATCATTTGTGTATCAATTGTATATATGTATATGTATCATATTTGTATCAATTGTGTATCACATGTATATCCATATATGTATACCTGTGTGTGAGATACATGCGTGATACATGTTTGATACATGTGTCGCAGAAGAATTTTTGGAACTCGATTTAATTACGAATTTTGATACAAAACCAGTCCAAATCACCTCCAATCTTCCTCAAATTTTGTATATTGACTTATCTATATGTTTTCAATGAATTTCAACTATACCCATTGAAAAAGTTTCTTTTTTGCTTAGATTTTTGGAATATCGTATATTTTTTTTGTATTTCATCTCCTTATTTGCTACCTCATCCATGTAATTTTCTTTCCGTTTGCATCTCATGTTGCTAAGCACGCTTAAAAATATGGAAGGTAATTTTTCCATGTAATTTTTTGAGAGAAAGAACCTTATTTATTTGATTTTTCAATTTTTATATGTGCTTGACTAATTTTGGTAAGTCTATGACTAATGGCTAGAGGTTAATAAGTTGAGACTTATTTGGGACATTTGTGTAAGTTTCCCTATTTTAAAAGGAAAAGAACTTGGACAAGCGATTATGCAAAAATTATAGAGAAATATATATATTTTTAGTCACTATAAAAAATAATAACTGATTAAATATATATATAAAATATTTTTTGACTAGCAAATATAATTAATTTCGTCCATCCAACCAATTTTATATTTCGTCCAAAATTGTATATGATGAAATTTCATATGACATTCCAACAAACGTTTAGTAAAACGATAATGACAGATGTACTATGTATGATTGTACTTAAGGTTTCTCATTATGCTTTTGGTCCAATTTATGATGCTAATTAAATAATAATCGATAGTCTATTATCCAACATGGACACGTATTAATGGCAGTTGACCCCATATCCATCACTTGCTTAGCTCAATGAATAGTGATTGCCGTTTTCAATAATAGACCAAGTTATTACTAGAAAATAAAAATAAGAGTTTAAGTTATCTAGAAAAACAAATAAGAGAATCACAAAATTGTAGTAGTAATCTTTGAACAAATATTCATACCTTCTCCATCATTATGAACCAATAAAACATTGCTGTCATTTACGTATTGGAATCGATTTGATCAATTTAGAAAGAAATTAATTAAAAGTAAAAATCAGTTGGAGTTAATTCAACGAATGAGTTATGGAACTAAAATGAAAACATAGTTAGGGGAACAACTTTTTGTAAAGATAAAAACATTGTGTCGAATGGTATTAGTACTACTGCTCCCTCGATTTCAATTTATGGGAACCTATTTTCTTTTTGGTATGTTCCAAAAGAATATGACCAATTCTAAATTTAAAAATAATTTAATTTAAACTTCTAGTTCTACCCTCAAAGTTTTTTATAGTCATACAAATACTTTAATATGTGGAACAAAATGTTATGGCTTATTTTTAATTAGGACACAAATTTTAAAAGTTTTCATTATTTTTAAACTCGTACTCAATTAAATAGTTTCGTATAAAGTGAAACGGATGGAATAATTCTTTTTATCAATAGATCCTTTTTAAATCGTCATTTTTTACCGGAAACCGGCTATACCAAGAACCACCAAATCTTAGCATCTATAAGTAGCAATGTTGCATGAAATCTATAAGAACAGTATAGTCTTTGTAAAACCCTTTTCATCCCTACTTAAATCTTGATTTTCCGACGATGCCATTCAGCCGTATAGCCGTCGGAAGGCCGGAGGAGGCCAGCCACCCGGACGCATTAAAGGCGGCGTTAACCGAGTTCATCTCAGCCCTAATTTTCGTGTTTGCAGGTTCAGGTTCAGGTGTTGCATTCAGCAAGCTTACTGATGATGGAGCTAACACCCCGGCCGGCCTTATTGCCGCCGCCATCGCTCATGCTTTCGCGCTTTTCGTGGCGGTTTCCGTTGGAGCGAACATTTCTGGTGGACATGTAAATCCTGCTGTCACTTTTGGTGCGTTTGTTGGTGGAAATATTAGCCTACTACGTGGAATTTTGTATTGGATTGCTCAGCTTCTTAGCTCTGTTGTTGCTTGTTTGCTTCTCAAGTTCGCCACTGGTGGTTTGGTAAGAATATTGTTTGCCCTATTCATCAATTATAATTGTAATATGGTTGTAATTAATGATGGTTTTGGTTCGTAAAAATCCATGTAAAAGTGATTAATTTTGACTTTCTAATTGATTGCTAGCTCGATGTTAAGTTGAGTTTGAATTCCTTTACTGCAAAAATAAAAGAATTCTTATGCTATCTATCACCTAAAAAGTTCAATAAATAACCATCCATAAGGTGTTGGACTACTAACTTGAACAATAAGTCAGTTTAGTTGCAACAACAAGTTAAAAAACACTAGCAATATAGAAAATGACATACACTACTAGTGGATATAAGAGAACGTTTTAGGTTATCTGAAAGATAACTACAAGTAAATCGTGCCTATAAAAAGTTGGATTATGAATCTATAAAATAAGGCAAATTTTCTACTACAACATATTAATATGTACTGATAGAGTGAAAATTATTTATACCATCAGTGTATACGGGTTACAATCAGTCGCAACACATATAACACTTCAATGAGATTTAACACCTCAAGATGAACCATCAAACCAAAATCTTGTGGACATTATGTGAAGTACTCGAATTAGTAATATTTTAACATTCAAATTAGGGGAAGTTACACATTTGACTGCTCGACCAAAAATATTTACAATCGCTATCCAATATATATTATATTATAAACTACAATAATTATAACATATTCAGTTTATTCTCACAAGTGGGGTTTAGAGACGGTAGTTTGTACACAAACCTTACCCTTACCTTGTGAAGGTAGAGAGGTTGTTTCGTCTAGATCCCCGAGACCCCGACTTAATAAGATTAAAATTACAACAGTTGTATAAAGAATTACAGAAAGACAAACTAATTATACATATATTATATATCTACAATAACGACAACAACAATAACCCAGTGAAATCCCACAAGTGGGGTCTGGGGAAGGTAGTGTGTACGCAGACCTAACCCCTACCCCGAGGGAGTAGAGAGGACGTTGTTTCCGATAGACTCTCGGTTCAAGAAAACGAAAAGATACAATATATCAGTACCAACAGCATAAACTAGAGAAATAATAACATCAACGTAAAGATTAGAAAATAGACAGAAAAGCAAAAATAATAACCGGTAAAACATATATTATATATCTGTCGTTTTTTTTTTTTTTTGGAACGGACTGTTTAAGTTAATTTCTCTTTAAAAATTATGCAGGAGATAGGTGCTTTTTCCTTGTCCTCAGGAGTGGATGTGTGGAATGCACTTGTATTCGAGATAGTGATGACATTTGGACTTGTCTACACAGTCTATGCTGTAGCAATCGACCCAAAAAGGGAGGTTTGGGCACAATTGCACCAATTGCTATTGGTTTCATTGTTGGGGCCAATATCTTAGAGCTTTTGATGGGGCCTCAATGAACCCAGCAGTTTCTTTTGGCCCAGATTTTGTGGGCTGGAGTTGGGGTAACCATTGGGTTTATTGGGCTGGGCCACTTATTGGTGGTGGGCTTGCTGGGCTTGTCTATGAATTCCTCTTCATCACCCAGAGCTATGAGCAGTTGCCACCAGCTGAATACTAAAAAGAAAAAAGAAAGGAATCAACCTAAATAGTTGTCCATACATTCACTTGAACTAAAAATAACGGATGGATGTTTAATATGTATATAACCATGTATAATCAATGAATAGTCTTAGTATACTGACTAAAAAAAAGTAAACAATAAATCCTACCGACTGGCATCTAAAATGGTATTTTTTTTTACTGGGTTTTATGTAATATTGTACTGAGGAGTTCTCTTGCTGTTTGATTATCTAAATTACCCTCTATTTTGGTTCAAACTTTGTGATATTTTGTGATAATGGGGTTGGGTTTTTTTTTTTTTTTTTGTGTAGTGTACTTATGTTTGTTTCCATGTTTCAATCTGGCACCTCTTTGGATTTGTGAACACTTAATTTTTGCACTATTTTAACACCTCCTAAAGTTATTAGTATTTTGTTATTTTAATTATTTTTCTCAAATTTTGTGTCTTTAATTGCATATTTCCTATCATGAAAATACCAAAAAATAATAGTTCTTCCTTCATTTGTGCATTTTAGGAATTGACTAACTTTTCAGTTGGTGAATCAATCTAGTTAATTGATCATTTGAATAAGTTATTTAATTAATTTATTTGTTTGTGTAAATTTAGTTTAATAAATAGGATTAAGGAAGATATTTGGCCAAATTTGAAAGAAAAAGTGGCCAAGAGTGCAAGATAAGGGGCTGCCATTGGAAGGGTCCGAAACTACGTAGTTTTGCCTCAAAACTACGTCGTTTCATTAAGTGAATCAAGAATAAATCTCATCCATTCATTTTCCCTCATCCAATGGTCCACAATCAATCTCCCAACTAGGTATTTAAGACTTAGAAATGCTGAAATTTTGCCCCATTTCCCCATAATTCTTTTCTCCTTCCTCTCTCTTCACTCTCTCTTTCTCTATAACCGCCGCCTCTCCACCGCCGCCGGAAAATCGCCCACCGGCGGCCGACCACCTCCAAATCACCCCAAAATCGCACCATGCAATCTCCACAACCTCCTCTTTACATATCTCCAAACAAAATCCTTAACAAAACCCTCAAACTCCTTGAATTTTAGATCTAGGAAACTTAAGACTAACTTTTTTTGCCCAAATTCTTGAAGTTCCAGCCACTAACACCCCCACAATACCTACATCAACGGATAGAGCTCCTCAAGACCTACCTATTGATGTCAATTCTACACCAAAAATCTAGCGATCAAAGTCCGGCCAAATTCCGGCGACCTCCCGGAACGCCCTTGTTTGGCATGCCACCATTTTTCGGCCACTTGAATTTTAAAATGGTAAAAATACTATTCTTTTTTCACGGTTGATTTGTTTTATTATTTTTTCAGATTTTTTTTGCCTCTTAATTATTTTAGCATTAGTTTCTGAAGTTTTGAAATGCTGAATTTTCTGTTTTTACATTGGTTTGAATTGGTTAGTTAGTTTATTAGTTTGTGAAGGGTAAAAGGTAAATGATGAAATAGGGTAGCTAGTAGCTTACTTTTTATTAGTAGGGTGGCTGAAATGATATTTTTTCTCCTTGTTTCTGCTATAGCAGATTTTCAGGCTGTCCTTTCACCTTTTGGACAGCCTTTGAACAGTGTTTAGCACACAAAAGTTAGTCCTTTTGGACAGACTTTTGGTGAACCAAAATCTGCCCAAAAAGTGGCTTTCTTTGCCTACTTAAGGGCAACCCTTTCCTCACTTTAAGGGGAGACTGGACCATACATTTTCTAGACATCTTTACACACTAAAAAAAAAACACAATTTTAGGAGTAAAAATCAGCAGCTGACTTAAAGAAAGTAAGCTGAAATGGTGAGCTTTAGGAGTGAATCTTAGAGTGCAAACTTTTAGAAAAGTATAAGTCTTCTTTAGAGTTCGTTTCTGGGTTTCTTCTCTAAGTTTTCGGACTGTTTAACACGAATTTACTGTTGTTTCGCTGCTGTTGTGTTGCTGTTTGTCGCTGAAATTCAGTCCCTCCCTTGCTAATATTTTCTTTCTGTTGATCAGGTATTTCCTCAACTGTTGTACTACTTTTTGGATCAAGATTGAATGAAAATGAAGTGATCAAGTCCTTTTAGTATATTGTGTTTGTGTATGACATGCTTAAATGATGTTTGGGTTGTTGTTTATGTTGCTTGAATACTTACTATATTAAGATTATGTTTATGCCTAAGTAGGAACCCGTAATTTAGTGTTAGTATTCAAAGCTTGCATCCTTATCACTTCTACTTTAGGTTATTGATTAAAATCAGTTGAGAAGGTTTCTATATCTTGCTGAAGTTTTTATGTTGTTAACTTGTAGATAGATTTTTTAAGATAAGTGCACTTTAAGCTTAAAGCTCTAGTGCTCAACAATAGTGGAGTTTTTTTTTTCAGTTTAATTTTCGTCTGCTTAAGGTCTGTAGTGTATTGAGTCGGTATGGGTTATTCAACTAAAAGTTTTCAATTAGATTACTATCGCAATTATTGTTAAATTAAAAGAAAAAAAAACATGATACACTAGTAGGTTATTAGTTGATTTGTAGTTGTGGATAGGTTTTAATATGTATGGGCCAAAGTGAACTCAAATTCAGCCAGGCCCATTATGAGGTTAAGCATACTAACAGGGCCATTTGTCTTTAATAGCAAGGTAGCTTAATGCCAAAAATAATAGAATTGGCCATTTTAAATCCAACAAACAAAGCTGGTCCAAGTTTCTAATTACAAGCTTTTCAAATAGTTTTTCAATTCATCATATTTTCTTTTTAATAATTATGTAACTTAATTACCTATGTAATTTAATCACCTTAATAATTAATTTAAACGCAAGGCAACTAGTAGGTGTGTTTTAATTTTTTCATTCACGGACTCGCTTGCGTAGCGTGATATTAACTCTTAATATTTTAATTCAATAATCTCATACTATTTCTACTAGCTTTAATTATTTTCTAATTTAATTAATTCTTTTGCTAAAATTACGGTTTCGCTTGTGTAGCGCGATACTTAATATTTTAGTAATTTTTAATCGTCTATCACGCATTCACTCGCGTAGTGTGGTTATGACATCTTATTATTTAAAATTTTCTTTAATTTTTCTAATAATCCAGATATAAAAGCGACTAGGTAAAAAAATATAAAAAGAATATAAATATCAATTTGTTCAAAATTAATTAAAGCCAAGTTTAAGTCAATAAAGCGACCGTGCTAGAACCACGGGACTCGGGGAATGCCTTACTCCTTCTCCCCGATCAACAGGATTCCTTACCCGAACTATTTTTTCGCGGACCGATAATATTAGAGTCAAACCTTCCTTTGACTAGGGATTCAAATAAAAAGGTAACTTGGAACACCCAAAAAATCAATTCCAAGTGGCGACTCCATAAATAAAGTAGTCCCTATTCAAGTTTGTCACTTTAATTGGAAAAACTCTTTAACCCTCCCACAATCCATAACATATGTATCTTTTTGGGGGTAGAAAAAGGGGTGTGACAGCTCTGGCGACTCCGCTGGGGACAACTAGAATTCGAGCTTGTACATGTTGATTTTTATTTTGATTTATTAATTTTGTATATACTGCTATTTATTTGGGCATAATGTGCTACTTGTTTGTTTTTTACCGCTTTGATATTTTTGAACTGTACATATAAACTGTCTTCTCACGCACCCCCTCTGAGTCTTCTTGAAATTAAAATTAGGCATTTGCTTGACATAGCCCGCTTTTTTTGAGATAGCCGAGGTGCTTGTCACCCGGTGAAGGATTTTAGTCACACATGTTTTAGGCGGGGAGCACCACCAGCTAAGCCGGAAAGCATTGCTACCGGTACGCTGACCCTCCTCGACTCGAGTTGTCCCCTCGAGTAAGCCAGTCTAGATACATTCTCCACTAGGATTTAAACCTAGAAGAACAAACCTCATGCCGGATATCCTTAGTAGGTTCGCTTTATATGCATCACGTGCATTTGACTTAGCGAAGCTCGGCACAGGGGCGGGTCCGTATAAGACAGGTATCCTTTTTGAGACCATCATGTTCACTTATGTACTACTTGTTGCTTCATTTGGAAGGCTTGCTTGCATTTGTTGGCCGGTTTTAGAAAATTAGTTTAGCGGGAAAAAAAAATTAAAAAAAATTATTCCCCCAGTTTTGTGTAGATAATTCGTTTTTACTAAATTAAATAAATAAAAATGGTCTAGTCTTGGTTCGAACTACGCAGGTCCGATTCTCATAATTCCAGTGGGGTACGTAGGCAACTTTCATCGGGTTCGGCCCCCATTTTTGTAAGAGTATCAAAATCGGTGTGTACATAATATTTTCCAATTTTTAATAATAATAATAATCGAGAGTTTTGCTACTTTTTGTCTTTTTTATTGTTTTTGTCTTTGCGTCTGATCATGTTTTTCAATACAACCTCAAAACCTTCTTCGGAACCGCCGAATGGCTGTTTTCATAAATTTAGCTAATATTTTACCATTTTCCCCAATGTTGAACCATTTTTGCCGAAATAGCCTTAAAAACTTTCTCGGAAGTGCCGAAGGGCTATTTCCGTACAAAATGATTACTTTGCTCCTTTTTAACATCTTTTACCATTTCGTCTTTATTTTTGTCCGTTTTTGCCGGGACAGCCTTAGTACTTTTCTTGGAGGTACTGAAGAGCCATTTTCATAAAAATAACCATCTTGTCCTCTTCGTCACTTTTTATCATTTTGTCTTTTGTTCGGCCATTTTTGTTTCCTCGGTGAGATATCTGAGTAATCCTTCTAGAGTCTAGCCTTCCTCCCATGAGAAGTTTGGCTGTTGTCTTATCCAATAGTTTGCTTGGTGTCATTTCTTTGAGTTTAGATTAGGACCTGACCTCACATTTTTATTTATCCAGGTGAGATATGAATTCAGTATGTGGAAGACCCAATAAAAATCCAAAAAATGATGAGCCCTTGCAGATTTGGCTTGTGCATAAAACGCCCTGGTTGCTGAAGCAATGGTGGAAAAATATGGGCATTTGTGAGCAGGAAAAGATAAAGGACCATCTGGGTAACTTTGTGAATATTATGGAGATCAACCCAAGGAGGGACTTAATCGAGGCGTTGGTGCATTTCTGGGATCCTAATAACAACGTGTTTCGTTTTAATGGTTTCAAAATGACTCCCACTTTGGAGGAGTTAGGTGGATACATAAAGTTAGGCGATGAGCTTCGGAAGAAGAGACCCTTAGCCCCGAGGGATGTCACTGGCGGTAAGTTCCTTGAGCAGATGACAATCAGCCAAAATAAAATAGCAAGCGTGGAACGAGGGCATGTTCGATTAGATTTCTTGTACGACAGGTAGGGGTGTCCTGGTGGATTTTCAAAGCACGAAAATATGACGACCCGGCCGGTCGTCTCATGAGTTACCGCTCTGTTTCCCCCATTTCTACTTCTAATTGCTTTAATTAACGGTTTTGCATGTGATCGGGTTGGTTGTCTCGGGTTCGGAAAGGTTTTGAGAAGGTTTGAGACACTTAGTCTCTTTTAAGAAGGCTTAAGTTGGAAAAGTCAACCGGATATTGACTTATGTGTTAGAGGGCTCGGATGTGAGTTCCGATGGTTCGGATAGCTTCGGGAGATGATTTGGGACTTAGGAGTGTGATCGGAATGTGTTTTGGAGGTCCGGAGTAGATTTAGGCTTGAATTGGCGAAATTGAGTTTTTAGCGTTTTTCGGTTGATAGGTGAGATTTTGATATAGGGGTCGGAATGGAGTTCCGGAAGTTGCAGTAGCTTTGTTATGTCATTTGGGATGTGTGTGCAAAATTTCAGGTCATTTGGACGTGGTTTGATTGGGTTTTTGATCAAAAGCGGAATGCGGAAGAATTTAGAACCTTAGGCTTGAATTCGATGAGTTTTGGTGATTTTGATGTTGTTTGAGGTATTTTGAAGATTGGTACAAGTTTGAATAAGGTTACGGGATATGTTTGTACTTTTGGTTGCGGGCCCAGGGGTCGGGTTTTGACTAATTTCAGATTTTGTGATGTTTTTCGATTATTTTCGAGTGGGCTTCGTCCCTTTAGCATAAATCAATGGTTATGTTCTGATTTTGGTAGATTCGGAGCATCCGGAGATCGATTCGAAGGGAAAAGGCATTGCAAGCTAGATTTAGGGCCGGATTGAGGTGAGTAATGATTTTAAATGTTGTCCTGAGGGTATGAAACCCCGAAAATTTACAGCTTTCAGTTATGCTGAGGTGAGACGCATGCTAGATGACGAGCGTGGGATCGTGCACCGTTTGGGATTGTTACTTAGTCCATCCCAAATGACTATTTTACTGCGTACTTGATAGTTAATTGTTTAATATTATTATATTTTGGGCTAAATGCCATATGTGGGCTTCGTGCCAACTGTTTGAACCCTTAAGGGATTTTAAATGATATTTTCCTCACTGATTGATTTCAAACTTGTGCTCAGTCATGCTATATTTTCACTATTTTCAAAACTCAACTATGTTATTCTGTTCTAAACCCATTAAATGATATTTTTAAAGATATTTTGAGCTGAGCTTCATGTTTTACTGATGCTTGAGGGGCTTATGAGATTCTGACTGAGTAAGGCCGAGGGCCTGTGCTGTGAGGATATTTTGGGTCGGGCTGCAAGTCGCAGCAGTGATATACTGATTATACTAATAAGGCCGAGGTCCTGAGATTGTACGCCACGGGGTGGCTTGAGATTGATATGAGGCCGAGATCCTGTTTATGATGCCACGAGATGGCTTGATATTGCGCTTGGGCCGTAAGGGGCCCCTCCCAGAGTCTGTACATCCCCAGTGAGCGCGGGTACCCATTGTGATATGAGATATAGCCCTAGGGCTGGTATTGTTCTGTGATATTGCCCGAGGGGCTGATTCTATTGTTGTTACTGAGCCCGAGGGGCAGTTATTATGTGTTTACTTTTTAGCTGTTTTCCCTGTATATTGTTTAACTGTTTAAAGGATGTTTATGAGATTTCACTGCTTAATTATATTTACGGATTTTGCTATGCCTCTTTTATCTTAATATTGTGCCTTACGTGGTTCTATATTACTCAGTCTTCATTTATTTTATTACTCACTGAGTTGGAGTACTCACTTTACTCCCTGCACCCTTGTGTGCAAATTCGGGAGCTACAGGTCCTGCTCCTGAGGGTTGATAGTTCCAGCAGGTCTTCGAAGATTTACTAGGTAGCTGCTTGGCGATTTGCAGCCCAGTGCATTCTCCCTCTATCTTAGTTTCTTTGATTCAGTCATGTAGTAGTGGAGTAGACTTCAGACATTTATTTTTGTTTTAGATGCTAATGAGTCATGACTGGTGACACCCCGATGTCGGGCTGTGTTGGTTTTTATTTTTCACAAATTATATT